CCCCAAAACCCCAAAACCCCAAAACCCCGGAACACTATTTAAAATTGAGCAAAGAGGTTATATATAAATGGCATTTTGAAGACACCTTCAAGCGCTTTGATGGAAGAACTGGCTCCTCTGGAGGAGGAAGCTCTGAGGAAGCTTGTGAGAGATCATATTCCCCTTGCTTATTGTAGGAGCACTGGTAGGAATCAAATCAACCTCTGATTCTTATGAGTATGATGGCGGCTCTTGGATCAGTATTGGGCATCTGTTCGCAATTCCTGATGAAAACAGTAAATTTTATCAAGACCTCAATGCTGATGATGGCCTATTTGTTGGTAGCAAACCACAGCCTTTCTATATGACACCTCGCGGAGGAAATTATTACACAATTGTTGGTACTGATAGGGATGAAGTGGACCAAATGAGACAAGCTATGAAGCCTTTTATTCAAGTCTTTCAGGAAACCTCAGGCAGAGAAATGGTCTTCCTTAATGACCTCGAAACAGAAGAAGACCTTTTTGATTTCATCAAAGGTCCTGATTACAAGAAAGATTCTAGATATGAATCCTTGTGGTTTGCTATTGGGTTGCCAACAGACCCTGAAAATGATCCATATAATTACAAAATTTACCAATCTGACGATTTCCCACAGTTGATACCCTCTACTCATTGGGATAAGATATTTCCTGTTCCTGATTTTGACAGCTATTACCTATATGCACGTTATGGGTTCACAGGACTTCAAAGTGTGATAGGGAACTATATCTTGCAGAAAGAAACTCAATCAACAGAATCGTTTATTGACACATATATAGCACTAGGTTTCTTCCCTAAATTATTAGAGGATGGCTTCCTTAGAGATGGAGGTGCTTCCTTTCCCTTATTCATGCTTATAATTTTCATCACTCCCTTGTTCAGATTGGTGAACTTCTTGACTGAAGAGAAATCCTCCCGTGCTAGGGAGGGCATGAAGATCATGGGTCTCAATGACACGCCATACTGGGCATCTTGGTTCATATATTATTTCTCAATATGATTAGTGATTTCGGTTGCATCGGGAGTGGCGATGAGTCTTTCAATTTTCAAAAGTTCCTCAATGTTTTTCGTGATCCTCTGGATCTTCCTCTATGGTATGTCCTTGTTCTCGTTTGCTGTGTTTATATCCTCTTTTATCAGCAAACCTCTGATTGCCTGCATTATTGCAACACTTTTTCATTTCATGACTTATTTTATCGTTTTACCACTCAACCAACCTGAGATTTCAGATGGGGTCAGAATAGGATTTTCAATAATCCCTAATGTAGCAATGTCTCTATCAATGCTAACGATGTGTGATCTTGAGCAAGCCCTCTTTGGCCTAAATGGGTCAACCCTGTTCTACTCAAAGTCTAAATTCCAAGTTGGTATAGCATTCATCTCCTTCTTGATTAATTTTATTGGCCTATTCCTAATCGGAGTGTACCTCGACAATGTACTCCCAAAGCAGTTTGGAAAAAGACAGCACCCCTGTTTCATGTTCAAGAAGTCTTATTGGTTTGGAACCACTGCTCGCTCTGAGAATGAAGATAAGGAAAGATTACTAGCTGGAGAAGGAGACTCAGAACAGAATAATAACCCAGAGAATTTCGAAGCAGTTCCTCCGAACGTGAGACAGTTTGAAAAGTCAGGAGAGTGTATGAAAGTTAGGAACCTTCGCAAAGTCTATGGAGACGGCAAAGTTGCTGTTGATGACTTGTCTCTGACCATGTACAAAGACCAGATCTTTGCACTTTTGGGTCATAACGGAGCTGGCAAAACTACGACGTTTTCAATTCTGATGGGTCTGTATCAGCCGTCTGGCGGATCAGCTTCGGTGTTTAACATCAACATGGTCGACCAGTCAGACCAAGTGAGGAAGAACTTGGGAGTGTGTCCACAATTCGATATTTTGTTTGACACTCTGACTCCTGAAGAGCACCTGAGGCTATACTGAATGTTTAAAGGAGTGCCTCCGAGTGAGGTTAATGATCAGATTGAAAAGACTCTCAAAGACGTTGATCTTATGCCTAAAAGAAAAGCATTTGCTAAGAATCTATCAGGGGGTCAGAAGAGAAAGCTATCTGTAGGTATTGCAATGATTGGAGGATCTAAACTGATTCTTCTTGATGAGCCCACAAGTGGAATGGACTTGACTGCTAGAAGAAAGATATGGGATATGCTAAAGAGAAATAAGCAAGATAGAATCATCTTGCTCACCACTCACTTCATGGATGAAGCTGATATCTTGGGTGACCGTATTGCAATCATGACCTCTGGTAAAGTCAAGTGTTGTGGAGGGTCTCTGTTTCTTAAGAAGAAGTTTGGAGTTGGATACAATCTCGTGATTGCCAAAGAAACAAAGCTTCCTAACCCAGACATTGAAAAGTTTGTGTTCAGCAGAATAGAAAATTGCATTAAGCTTTCAGAAGTGTCTTCAGAAATCACTTTTCAAATACCAATGGCCGAGTCAGACAAGTTCGAAAGCTTCTTCACCGACCTCGACAACAGTCTGGGAGACTTGAAAATAAAGAGCTATGGAGTTGGAGTGACCACTCTTGAAGAAGTCTTCTTGAAAGTTGGTCATCAGAATGAAGAAGAAAATAAAGACTCTCAATTACTTAAACAGGAAGAAACAAAAGAAGGATTTGATAATCCTCAAACTCAGAGTCAACTAAACTTCTCAAGGGAGAGTGGAGTAGAAGAATATTCAATTGCAGATAAGCATGAAAAGAATGTGTTCTGGTTACACTACTATGCTCTATGAGTAAAGAAATTTTTAATTTCATTCCGGCAGCTCAGATCAGCTCTGATAGAAATATTAATACCAATGATTTTTATAATCCTTGGACTTGCTCTCTCAAACCTAGAGTTCTTCAAGGATCCTGTTCCATATAACATTGATCTCAGTGAGTATCCTTCGAAGAATAAGATATACGTCTCCATGATTCAGCCTGAAGTTACCGAGTTCCAGCAATACGTTGATGCAATCGACAAAGATGTGTTTGATGTCGAAACTCCAGAGTTCCCAAGAAAGTTCGATAGGCTTTATGAAGACTTCCTACAATTTGAAAGTGATACTTTCTACAAGAGAAATGGGTATGACAGTGCAGTCTTAAATTCAGGGAATCATTTTGTCAATAATATTGACTTAGATACTAATAGATGAGGAATCGTTGCAACTATAAATGGTCACGGGAAAGAAACAGTCCCAATTCATATGGGTGTGATGCTACAAACTTGCCTTAGAGTCTTATTAAATCAACCTAATTTGGAGCTGAAATTTAGGAGCCATCCAATACCTTTGACAGCAGATGCTCTTGCTGGAGCAAAAGCAGGAAGTGGCTCTATTATTTCGTTCTTATTTGCTATTGCGTTTGCAATGATTCCAACTGGAGTAGCAGCATCTCTAGTAAAGGAAAGAGAATCTAACGTAAAGCATCAGCAGATGATATCTGGAGCTTCCAAAATATCATATTGGTTGAGTACGTACACAATTGACGTAATTCGTGGATTTATTCCAATCTGATTTGGAATTATAATGATCTTTGCATTTGGGGTTGACTTACCCAATATATGGGTTCATTTCATACTGTTCGGATTTGCCATTCATCCATTTACTTATGCTACCACCTTTTGGTTTAAGAAACACGGAGTTGCTCAGCTGATGACTATCATCATCAACATTGCTTTGGGAGCTTTTGTTCCTATAGCAATTTTAGTAATGCAGACTATAAAGAGTACACAAAACATTGCTAAAACTTTGAGATGGCTTCCTAGGATCTTCCCCATTTACTCTATGATCAATGGAATCACTCAAATCTCCATTAGGTCTCTGATAGCAAGGCAAGAAGGACTAGACGACACTGAAAACTCTCTAAATCTTAACATCGCAGGAGGAGACGCAATGTTCTTAGCCATTGACATTTTCTTTTGGTGGGGTGTCACAATTCTTTCTGAGGCTGAAGTTTTTCAACGAATTTTTAGAAAAATTAAGTGAGGAAGGGTAATACAAGATGACTTCTCAAGAAGAACAGAAAACGTGAGAACTGATTCAGATGTCCTTAAAGAAGAGCTTAGATGTGAGCAACTTGACTCGAAAGAGTGCTCTGTGCTTGTCAATGGACTCAGAAAAGGATTTACTGTTAATGGAGAACCATTTGTTGCTGTCAAAAATATTTCATTCGGACTTGAAAATGGAGAGTGATTTGCTTTACTAGGAGTCAATGGAGCAGGCAAGAGTACTACTTTTAAAAGCATGACTGGGGATATCATTCCAAGCGATGGTAAAATTTATATCGATGGATATGACATCTCTTCAGCCTATGAATTTTCAGAAGCTAGGAAACTTATTGGATATTGCCCACAAGTTGATGCTATCTTTGAAGGTATGACTGTACTTGAACATCTGGTGTTCTACTCAAGAATCAAAGGCATCCTTGCACACAAGCGAACCTCACTTATCCAGAAAGTTATGGACGAACTCGACCTGGAATCTTTCAAACATGTGAGGTGTGAGAAATTATCTGGAGGAAACAAGAGAAAACTCTCAGTTGCCATGGCAATGATTGGTAACCCTCCAATCATTTTCCTTGATGAGCCTTCAACCGGAATGGATCCCAGAGCGAAGAGATTCATGTGGACAATCATCTCTAGGATCTCGACGCTGCGGAAGAAGAGCACGATTATCCTGACAACGCACTCGATGGAAGAGGCAGAGGCCTTATGCACAAAGATGGGCATCATGGTTAGAGGCAGGTTCAAGTGCTTTGGATCGTCTCAAGAAATCAAAGACAAGTTCGGTACAGGCTACGAAGTGGAAGTCAAGGTGAAGTGGCCAACAGACGAAGAAGCTCTTAACTATATTAAAGATAAAGAAGCTGATCCTAATGAAGAAATCACTGCTGAACAACTTGAATCAACTCTAAGAAAAATTGAGATGCAGAGGCTTATAGAAGTACCTCAGTTCCTTGATCTCGAAGGTGATGTTAGAAGAGATGGTTCAATCTCGCTGCTCTCCCTTTGCCAATGGGCTTTGTTAGAAGAGTCTGGATATTTGGTAAGAGAAGAACTACAGAAAAATACATCAGACTGAAAAATTCTTGAACATTATAACAACTTCTATAAATTCAGGATTGAGAGAGGAGCTAAGAGTCTGGGCTTCTTCTTTGGGTTCATGGAGAGCCTCAAAACCCGAATTGACTTCGAAGAATACGGTGTTAGTCAAACTTCACTAGAGCAGATCTTCAATAACTTTGCTAGAGAGCAAGAAATAGGTGATGATAATAGTCAAAGAAGATCCACTAAAAGAGAGGCAGATTAGAATAATATCTCAATAAACTTGGTCGAAATTATTTCAATCTGGTCAACCCTCCTTGGGGTTTTGGGGTTTTGGGGTTTTGGGGTTTTGGGGTTTTGGGG